GGCAGAAAAGGCCTTGACTCCGTGTAAGCACTGCTCAGCAGTAACTAAAACATCTCTGTGTTATCAACACTGTTTCCAGCACAAATCCACATAGTTCCGTACTAGCTACTATGAAGAAAATTAACTCTATCCCAGGCAAAACCAGCACAACCAGGAAATTTAGTAACAGATAAAAAATGAGAGGTTTATTAGCTTGTCAAATTAAATCCAAGCACAGCAAATGATTAGATGTCTCCTATCAACAAATGCCATTAGTTTAATCAGTTTGATTTTAGCAGAGAAGTTACTTCCCAATGAAAATTGCTCCTTTTTAACCTGCATGATGACCCTCAGCACCTGCTACTAAAAGGGCAAGGTAACAGTTCAGTGAAAGTTGTGAGATAAAAGGGGATTTACCTCCAAACATCAAGCTTCTGAGTTTAAATACTTCATAAATGACCTAATTCAGTGACAGTTCTGGTAATACCACTCTTTCTCAATGGTTGTGCAAATTCTGTTTCCTACTGTTCATTTGCAACATTGCCAATTTTCTATAAATACGAGGGAGTTTCCCGTTATTATCACGTAAAACATATTCTAAATACCTATAAGAATACATTATCATGTAGGTTACTTATTAGCTGCTGCAGAGAGATAGCAATAAAATATATTTTATAATTTAACAGAAGAATTACAGCGGCACAACTGAGGGAAATTTTTGTAATGAAACGGTGATAGATTGAGGCATCTCATTTGTCTTATGAGTTCATAATAAGAAAAATATTTTCCTGAAATATATAACTACATTTTAGAAAACAGGAAAAACAAGCAACCTAATATAGCTTGATATGATCATAGCAGAAAGCAGCAATATTATAATACTATAAAAATTTCATAAGTTCAGTTATTAACTATTATTTTGAAGATAACGAATAGCAAATTCTATGAAATCATGACTTGGTAGGTAAATCTAGGCAAGTGTAGTACAAGTACTAGTTTAGTACAAGTTTAGTACAGCAAAGGAAGAATATTAAACAGGGATTAACGGCTCCAACTTTGAGCTCTTACCGAGAAAAGTCTCTGTCTGTGATGAAGGGAAAGACTTTCAGGAAGGGAAAACAGACTCATAAGAAGTCCCACTGAGGTCTGAAGGTGTCGGGATACTGTACCTTTGACATCTACTACACCAAAGTACAGGAAAGGACTTAAACAAGAGTTTTCTTCTTCTTTATTTAATTAAATCCAAGGAAGCAGATCCCTTCCACCTTAACCACACAACATCCGTGTCAGAACAAAGACTAAATGCATGCCTTGGCAGTCCTGGTGACATTGAACCAACTACAACCTTTATTGCTTTCAAATATGGCTAGAATCAATGGGAAAAGTCCAAAATAAAGGCAACCCAAGCCTACAAAAATCAGAATAATCAATATGAATATTTCTCTCTTCTTCCCTTTGTTGATGATGGGCAAATACAGGAGACTTCTGACTACTTTCATGACTAGAATAAGAAATAGCAATTTCTGTATGTATCACATTTTACTATAAACAAGGAATTCTCTAAAAAACTATAGAAGTTTGATTAACATAATTTAATGCAAGACACTCAAGTCAGCTATTCACATACTCACTTACACTACTAGTAGAAGTAACATCACTCTGCTCCTCATTTTCTTCAAAGGATATTGGCAGGTTAATGCTAATAGCTGCCCTCAGGTTAGCCCAGAAAAGGGCACGCTTGCTCCTCTCCTTCGGCCACTCCAGGTAGGTTCGCTTTGCCATGAGAGCCTTCAGCTTGTGATACCTCGCGGGGACAATATGCGGAGGGATCGGCTCCAGTAAAATGAGGATTAAGCTGTTGGAATTCTCACTGAATAATTTGTGATGGGCAAAGTACAGCTCATAGTGACACCACTCGCTCTGCACAAAGTTGGGAGACAACACAAAGATCGACTTGTAGCTCTTCTCAATGCAGTTAATGATGTTCTCCACAATGCTCTTGCCAGGGATAAAGTTTCTCTCGTGCTGGCACAGTTGTACGCAGCCCTCCCCCTTCTCCAGGTTCGGGATCAGCTCGTTCTTCACCCACAATGAATCGCGCTCGCTGTAGGAAATGAACGCATGAAACTGCAGAACGGTCTCCTGCTCTTCGGGGTGGTTGTGCCAAGCTCTCCGCTTCGTCTGCGTCCACTGCCACGTCATCTGCACGTACCACGGCACATCCAGGTAGATGCACAGAAAGGCCACGACAGCCACCAGCACCAGCGTCAGCAGCAGAGCTGTCACGAGCAAGAGCATCGTGTTGCAAGCCAGTTCAGTCAGGTGGAAGTCCTTCAGCTGCGTTCCTCGCAAGTCTTCCGGGTACTCGCACACATATGCCGCCGGCCAGCCAGCCAGCTTCCCCCCAGACTGCCTCGCCAGACGAATAAAGTCTTGCAGTTCACAGGAACACTTGAACGGGTTGTGCCTGGCTTGTAGCTCCTTGACCCTTGGGCAGCTCTGGAAGAAGTCGGCAGATGGGGTGAGGATCAAATTCATCTCTGTGTTCAGGAACTCCAGGGACATAAAGCCACTGCACCCCGGCAGGTCAGCCAGCCTGTTCGATGCCAGGTTCAGCTCCTCCAGCGATTTCAGCTCAGCCATCCCCTTGGCGACACTGGTGATCTGATTGTTTTGTAGGTTGAGTTTTTTGATGTTGACTGGCAAGCACTCAAACACGGAATCCGTCAACTGATTTGAGGACAGGTCCAACTCTGTCAGAGACTCAGCCCACCGGCATTGCACGTCAGCTGCATCGTGACTCAGCAAGTTGTTGCTCATGTCCAAATATTTCAGCAATTTCATACGGCTGGTCATGAAGCTTACCTTGGAAAGGCTCTCAAATTTATTCCTCTCCAAAATAAGTAATTTCAGATCTGTCAGAGTACCACAATTCTGGAACAATTCATCCGTCAGGGCATTGTGAGAAAAATTTAAATACTGAAATGAGCTTGTTCTATTGGGGCAAAGCATGTGTGGCATATATGCATCATATATTGTCAAACTGGCAATATTCATCTCTGAAAACTGTCGGTATAGAATCTCCTGGTTGAAATAAAAAACTTTATTACGAACATGCTCCAAAGTTAGCACTTTCATGGAGCCACCCAAAGATATCAGTTGTTCCAGAGAGCTTAATACGGGTAGAAATTCATACTCAGTCAGCTCCCCCAGTGGTCCCCGAAAAGTCAAATTTCTCACAGTCAAATGCTCCACAGGTGAACACCAAATAAACAGGAAAATTTGCAAAATGATAGCCCATTGTAAGTCCACAGTGTCAAGCATCAGAGCTGTTGTCTTGATTTTCTTCAGAAGCGTTAAAGGAGGAGAGGGGAAATCTTTGTTGCTCAAGTTATATCTTAAGTTAACTATTTTTAAGCTTTCTGAAGTGCTCATTCCATCATACAAGAGGGAAAAACTGAAGTTTTGGTTTGCTGCAAAAACAATATGGAGGCTCCTTGTATTCAAGGCTGTCAGACTCCGAGGCTCATACAGAGAAAAGTCTTCTAAGGTTAGGAAGACAGTGTGTAGCTGCAAACGTATGATATACCTGAAGTCTGACCTTCGTATCATCGTGGCACTTAATCCTAAGTACTCCAACTGAAACATGTTCCCGAATTCCTGACAGATGGGCAGGGCAGTAAACTTATTGAAAGAAAGATCTAAATGTCTAAGATATGCAAGAGTTTGACAGTAAACTTTCAAAATGTTATTATGAGATAAATCTAAGTATTCTAAATCTTCATTAAAAATGAAGACACTGAAGTCAAGCTCCGTAATTAGATTATGAGAAAGATTTAATACTTGAAGGTCAGAAAGAGAAATAAATTCTGAGATACTAAGTCCAGAGATCCTATTATGTGATAAATCTAACACATGAGTATGGACTGGAATGTTTTTTGGAACATTAGTTAGCAAACTGCTTGAATAATTTGAAATAAATTCATTTTCCACAGTTGGCTGGATATTATTCCATAGTATGAATGTAAAGACACAAGCAAAGACATAGATATTTGGAAGGGGTCCCATTATGCCTTCCAGGTTTATCTTGGTTTCTTACAAAAACATAGAAGCATATCTTTGGTTGCTGTCTAATATGTCTCAGTGATGAGTCCAGCCCTAGGAAAAGAAATCACATGGAATTTGCTGAAATTGTTGAACTGCTGAATTTGCTTTTTATTGCTAAAATAAAATTCAATACAAAATTTATGTAATAAAAATTTTATTTTTACATACTCTTGTTCTAAGTTCTTATCAATCCTCCTCATCCCATTCTTTAATTCCAATTACTGATTTTCTCAGGTAAGTAGAAACTAATTCCTTTATAATGGGAGGAATACAATCAGTGGTAAGTTAAAAAAACACAAAGATGTTAAGAAATACAAATTTCTCAACAATCTTCAAAAATTCAAAACCGGAACAAACAGACATCAATGCATTTAGGAGTAAAGGAGAATACAACAAGCCTCCCATCTGCTCTTTCCCTACACCCCATGTCCAGACACATTTGGGGACAGGACTCCAAAAGCCCCATGGACCCTCACAGGAACCGGTGCAAAAGCAGCCTCTTCAGTCAGAAAAGCCAAAGGATATTCCTTTTCACACCCCAAAGACCCAGGACACAGCCATGCACCCCCTCAGGGTCAGGCAATCAGAGAAGCTGATCAGCTTTGTCTTTGCTATAGGACAAAGACATAGGGGTCCATTTTCCCAGTAAGCCAAGGAGCTTGAGGAAGAACTATACTGTCTCATGAATATTGTAATGCCAGTCTGTCCAGAAGTGTACTAACAGAAAAACCACAGCATAATCAGACACTACGTATGAAGCAGTGGTACGCAAAATCTGAAAGAAAACACTTGACACTTCCAAAGACCTCAGGATTTCCTAGGTGTCCTAGGAAATTTCCTACATTTTCCAAACTACCCCACAGTTGCAACTTGACAAAGAACCTCTCTAGAAACGGTGAGGGACAATGAGTCTAGTTTTAAGGATCAAAAAGCCCAGGGATGGAAAGATTTTGTGGATACGGAAAATGGTCCAGTAGAATTAATATATGGTTATGGTCATGTCTATCAATAGCCTACATCTCCTAGATTTGGAGAGGCATCAGTCCTATCATGAAAAAGCATGACCTGGGCATTACTCTCGTCATCAAGCACTTAACAAAACAGACAGACATCCTGAAGAATGAGCAACTCGTAAACTGTTTCAGGAGACAAAAAGCCCCAGTTTTTTTCCTGTGCCGATTTTGTTTGAAAAAACCCCAAAATTTTAAAATTCTGCCCCTGTGTAATCTTTTGTTAAATAAAAATCAAATGCCTATTTTTTCAGTTCTAGGTTATAACGTGTGTTCATCCCCAATAATTTGATTGACTGATATCAAAACTCATCCCTTCCCCTTCAAGTCTCCTACCAAGCTTAATCAAGTTTTCTTTCAAACAGGTAAAGCAAAAGTATGTGTAATTAACATCACCAAAAGCAATAAAAGAATAATCAGTAAAGTGTAAATTTCTACCTCAGTAGAATCCAATTGAGAGGTCAAATTCTGTCTTCGGAAAGTTGTGCTAGGGTATCTGAGTACAGAATAGAAATGAAGCTGGGATGGTTGGTCAAAGTAAAATATCACTCACAAGACAAGGAAATCTGACCCAGCTTCCTTCAAAGAGCAGCTAACCCTGTTCTTCAGAGTCCAGGCTGGTAAAGAACCTCTTGAATCAAATAAACTTTGATCTGGAACTATCTGGAGGAACTTCCCCCTGGGCAAAAGGGACATCAGAAACAAAGCAAGAAATGTTCTGAAGAGAGAAAGAAAAAATGGTCCGTGCTCCAATACCAGATGAGTTTTCATTTACTGTTCATGCTATGCTATACACTACAAGAAGGGATGATCCATGCTGTATAGCACTGAAGAGTGTCACAGTCAAAGAATAAAGCAGGTATGTGTAGCAAAGCAATATTAAGGATCAACACTTACCCCTCCAGCACTATTTTATTATGGTATTAAATTAGAGTTGGCTGAGAATGAAAATTGCCATACCAAACATTTTTTCCCTTTCTTCTTTGTTGAAATTCAACATACAGACGAGCATTTTCACTGAAATTTCAAAATGCAAGAATATCTTCCAACAGTGAAGAAACACCAGCACCTGAGATCTGATGGAGTCCAATATACAGATAACAAAAAGAAAAGAAAATGTTAAATAATGGAGCAAATATAACCCACCTTTTGTGCGTGGAATTCACCTCTGATTGAAGAACCAGCAAAAGATCTCTGCATACTTGGTTAACATCCTCAAAACAGAATTTCAAACATATGTAATCTTCAAGCTGGGGAATCTCACATGAGATGCTAATTCCTTAATAATTACTACCTCAGGAAGTAGAAAGAACAGGGTTTTCTTATATAGGCTATATAATTCTAAGAATTAATCGAATTTCCCTACAATGCAGGTATTTGGAGCACAATGAAAGTAAATTTTTAACAGTCCAGACTCGAAATACATTTACTTCTGTAATATTTACATAACTGTATGGTTTAGGAGGAAATAAACCTTTCTGTGGTACAGAATATTCACGAAGGCAAGACTGTTTAAATAATTCCGCATTTCTAATTTCATGCCTGCTTCTGATGGTTACACAGATGTTCTAGAAATCCGTCAACTGCATCTCCTCTTTTGCACACACAGAAAAGAGGAAGCAGAACCCTCACCACCAACTTCTCTTCACATCAAAATCTCTTGCAGAGCTCTACCCCACTGAGTTATTTTCCTCAGCAAGCAGACTAATTAATGTAGCACACTGACAGATGGCAAAAGCTTAGATCTCAAAAGCTAGTAACAGGGGCAAACTGGCACCGTTCAAAACCTTTACAGGTCAGTCATCTTTACACTAGAGATGCCGCCTGTGGCTATCAGGGATGCCCCACATTGTAGCTTTCTTCAAAAAATTATAAAAAATGAACTATAGAGAATATTTGCTATGAAAGCTGTAAAGAAGCCATGAAGAACACAGCAATATAGAGCAATCTGGGGATGGAGGAATCCAATAAAGCAGCCATTCAATTAACGTCTTGAACAGGGACATGAGCCTACCGGGCAAATCAACAGAGCAGAGCGTGAGTGCATTGCAAAGGCAGATGTAAATAATCAAAACCAACACCTCACTGCCATAAGCCTCCGAACTAATACAACATGCTTCAGTAAGATTAATTAGCAAGGAAGAAAGAAGCAGAGATGAATAAATGAATTAAGATTTATTTAATCTTAATGAATTTTAAGACCAAATTAATGAAGTATGTAATGAATTCTTCAGGTATGAGCAAACTAGGGGAGAGGGGGCACCTTGGCCTATTCTGGACACAGTCTAGAGCTTACTCCACCCCATAAAACAGCACCTTGGAGGAGAGCTGGAGGCAAGAAGGGATTCAGCTAAAGAAAGCTGAGAAGTATGAAAATTTATTCTAGACAGTGGTGCCAGCTATATTTCAAGCTTGCATTAGATTCCTTTTTAAACTTTTCTTTTGCAATTACCTTTTTAATTTTGTAAAGAAGAATTTAACCCTTTGCTTGGCTGAAAGAAAATGTCTGTTTTTCATTTTGAGATTGATGAGTAAGATAGTCTGAACTGAAGCTGAACTGAAACCATTCTCCCTTCCTCGGTGCAGTGAATCTGAGTAACACATTACAGAAAACTCTGAGACATCTTTGACCCAAGACAAGACCAGGGATCATGAACGTTTCGCAATAAGCAGCAAGAGTCTGCTTGTCAGCTGATACTGTCTTGTCTTCAAGTTAAAGGAGAATTTCCTGTTGCTGGGCATTAATCCATGAAAATGAATAGACTAAGGCACTTGTTGACAGAACAATAATATCACAATCAAATTGAGAACTAAATTATGCAAACCAGTGGCAGTTTTACTTCCAATATAGAATCATAGAATAGTTTGGGTTGGAAGGGACCTCTAAAGGTCATCTAGTCCAACCCCCCTGCCGTGGGCAGGGACATCTTCAGCTAAATCAGGTTGCTCAGAGCCCCATCCAACCCCACCTTGAATGTTTCCAGGGATGGGGCATCCACCACCTCTCTGGC